TAATATAAAGCAAACCATCCTCTATATTGAGATCTGATACAAGTAATCAATCTGTCGAAAATTCTATCAACCAAAAGCCAATCCATTTCCTTAGGGGTGTGACCTGTACCCAACACATATGAATGTTCTAGCATAGTACACTCTCTATCATGTATTTGACTCTTCAACATCTCACCTCAGGTCTTTGGGATGTGAGCTAGCAGCCTGCCATCTGATCTACTGATGTTGAAGTGTTTGTCAGCCTCTGCAATACCAAGAGTCAGGAGAAGCCTCCAGACTGACACTTCTCCTATGGATTTGGAACTTGACACCTCCTCCACAACTCGATATTATATATAAAATCCTCTCTTTAAATACAGTGGCCTAGTGGTAATTACTTGTTATGCATCTGAAACTTAAACAGTGATTAAAGATAACAGAAGAAGAATTGATGCCTTTGAGTTATAGTGTTGGAAAAGAGGGTTGAATACGCCATGGACTGCCAAGAGAATAATCAAATATGTCTTGGAGGAAGTGTAGGCATGTGTTAATTGGAGGTAAGGATGGTCAAGCTTCGTCTCATATATCTGGGGGATTTTGTTAGGAGAAGGACATCATGCTTAGAAAGATGGAGGGTCAGCGAAGGAGAGGAAGAACCTCAGTGAGATGGTCTGCCACAGTGACTGTACCAACGGGCCCAGGTTTATCAGAGATGATGAGGATGGCACAGGATAGGGCAGGGCTCAGATCCATTGTTCATGGGGTCGCTATGAGCCATAGTTGACCTGATGGCACATAACACAATACGTGGTAAGTAGTTGTGTTGTCAATACAAAGCGGAAAGATCTCCTGCATCACTGACTTATAGCTTCTGAAAACCCACTGGAGGGTTAGTTATAATTCAGTTCTGACTCCACAAACAGGGTAAGCCCATTTTATAGTAAAAGAAGAAGCAGAAAGAAGGGACTTCTCTGGAAAGGAGGGAGGAAAAAAAATCAATAAAAATGTAAATCTAGTTGAGCAAAACTATCCCAGCTTGGCTGTGGGGAAAGATAAGAAGGGCCAGCTGAGCCCTGGCTGACAGTGGAAGAGATTAGGGGAAAAGCGGAGCTGGGCCGGGTTGGGCAAAGGGAGTGTGCCTCCTCTGAGAAGTGCCTCCGCCCTCTGCCTTCACTGCACTCCTCCCACCCCTGCTCTGTGTGTTTATTAACCTCTTTCAGGGACAGAGGACAGGGGAGGAAATTCACAATGGCTGATCATCATTCTCTGCCTGTAATTGACTATTTCATCGTATTTTGCCTTTCCAGCTTTTGTGAGACAGGAGGTAGGTATGTTCAGCCTAACTTTACAGGTAAATAAACGGATGTACAGAAGTTAAATCATTTATTCAGAGGTACATATTGAATAAATAGCAGAGTCAAGATCTCAGGGAGTGGTGGTGTTTTTTCCCCCCACTCTAATAGTTTTTGAGTTGAGATCCTGGATTCCTACGAGGCTGCCAAGCTTCAGATAGTCCCCAGACTTGGAAGTTGTGTTTGTGTTGTGTGCATTTTGAATCGAAAGACTCTCTTTTTTGTCAGATTCCCAAAGATGATTGAACTGTCCCCGTCGCCTATACTATACTACCTCCTCAAGGTGGTAGAATTTGGTGTGGGCCTGGAAGATTGGATAGGACTTTGTAACATGAGAAAGGAGAGAGAAGCAGGGCTGTGAGGATGAGGAAAGCAGCCTGGGTGGAGGGAACAATGCAGGTGAAAGCAAGGTCGTTGTGTGCTGAATCTATTCCAATTTATAGCAACCCTACATGTCCCAAAGGATTTCCTAGGTTGTGAATTGTAATTAACTCAATGGTATCCAATGCCAGTAATCTTTACCGGAGCCGATTTCCAGATCATTCCTCCTGGAGAGCTGCTGGTGAGTTTGAACTGTCAATCTTTTGGTTCACAGCTGAACATTTAACCATTAGGTTTCCAATGTTGCTTAAAGGCATGGTAGGGAGGAAGAGTTCAACGTGTCCAGGGAATGTTGAGAGTACTCATGGGTTCTCGATTCTCATTAATTTGGGTTTCAATCGTGGACACTGGCTCTCAGCTCTTGAGGGGCATCTATCTGTTCTGGAACTTTCCAGCATGAGTTCAGAATAGAAGGAACTCAAGTTGGATGTCAGGACATCAATTTTGGTCCCAAGCCTGTCCTCTGACTTGTGGGACCTGCTTTTACCATTAGTAGTCTCAGAGAGAGTGCAACCAGAATATTCCTTGGAGACAAAAGTAGTGAAGCTTTGTCTCACATATTTTGGACATGTTGTGAGGAGAGGCTATCCTTGGAAAGGCACACAGGGCTTGGAAAGGTGGAGGGTCAGCAAAGGAGAAGATCATCTTCAACAAGTTAGGTTTATACTGTTTCTGTGGCAACGGATTAAAACGTGTTGAGCATGATAAGGACGGTGCAGGACAGGAGAGTTCAGATCTATTGTTCATAGGGTCATTATGAGTCATATTTAAATGGATGGCACTTAACAATGACAACATCTACATGGGAAGTTCTGATGGCCTGGTGGTAAGAAATTGCAAGGCCAACTCAAAGGCATGCAGTTCAAGTCTACTAGTCCCTCCACAGGAGCAATTTACTGCCTCTAAAAACCTACTAGAGGGTCAGCTATGCATTGGTTCTGACTCAACAGAAAACACCAAGAAGAAGGCAATAAAATAGTTAATAAAAATATTGTTCCATTTTTCTAGATGGTGTAATGTATTTGATTTTTAACTTATTTTTTCATCCTAAGTAAATATTTACTTTATGATCTGATTGTGTATCCCTTTTCTTAGTAAACGTTCCCAAATTATAAGTTTCAGTTTCCACAACCTGGACCCATCCTGACTCCACCATTTGTTTTATGTGCGATCTGACACAATCACGGATCCTTTCTGAGTTCACTTCTTTGTGTGTAAAATGGGGATAACAGTTTGGATAGGTGAGGACTCAGGAAAGCCTGTGACCTTATCCCATCACTGAAACCATTACTAGAGGAAGTAGCCCAGCCTAATGAAAATTAGACCCGAATATGAAGAGAGAGAAAGATGTAATGTACAAGAAATAATGGTGAGCCACAAATCCAGTAAAACTTAAATCTAAATAACTGGAAATAATGTGGTTGTTGCAAACTCTAATGCAGTTTGTAAGAAAGGATCTTTGTAATAGAAGAGACATTATGCATAAACAAATTTAATAATAAGCTATATCTATAATTCCAGATTATTTCTGCAAAACCTGGGAAACAAGAGGGAAAGAAATAATTGACATTGATAAATACAGTTCAGATATTTGCTAAACATTTAAAGGGAACAGCCGGTAGAGTCAAATGGAAGATTAGAACATTGGTACCTCCCTCTTCTTCTTTCCGGTGGGAAAACTTCACACCTCTGGGAGTTGCTCAGAGAACCATGTGCATCCTGACCTCTTCCTCAGCTTGCCCCACGGGGTCCCTGCACAGAGCTTGTGAAGCCACTGCCCACAGGTCCCTGCCTTCTGCTTCTCCCCACCCAGGCAGGGCATCTGCAAACAGATGGGGTATGGTGGTGGCAGCAGAATGAGCGAGGAGCAGGTTGGGAAATGCTCTCCCTATCCGAGGGAAGTAACCAAGTCAGGAAGTTGGGAAATACTTCCCTGTCCAAGAGAAATAACCAAGTCAGGAAGTTGATTTTTATTTTTGAACGTCCCATAAAAAGGCTGTCATATCTTTCTCTTACAGGCGCGCTGGTGGGTTCAAACAGCCACCTTTGGGTTAGTAGCCAAAAACAACTTCTGTTCCATGAAGACTCCTTAGGCCAGTTAGAACTGAACATAAAACAAGACATGGGCTGATTTTTTTAAAACCAAACCAAAATGGACTGAGTTGTTCAGCCCAAGCATTGACAAAGACCTGCTCTTTACACAAAGTTGGATATGACTGCTTCCAGCATCACAGGCCTGGGTGTTACAAAGAACTGATCCCTAACCCCAAAGAGAAAACCAGATGACATCCCAAAACACTAGGTGTAACAGCACCAGGTAATATCTACATGACTTCAGGCTTCTAGTCACAAAAGAGGTTGCAGTAACTTTGATGGCTCCAGGTCAGAGATGCAAAATCCTGACCCTATGTTGGTATCAGTGTCAGTGTGTGTGTGTTGAGTGTCTGGGCTCTGAAGTGAGAAGGTTACCTAAGTGTGGGCCCCAGGTTTTCTTACCCAGACAAAGGCCCCTACAGGGGGTTGGGCCTTATCCCCTCTATACTGTGGCTCCCTGAGTCTGGAGACTAAGTCTCCCCTGTTAGCTAAGGCTCCCTGAGTGCAGGGCCATTGAAGATAGACTAGAATCCCTCACAGGGCCCCTGAGCACCCTGCCAAATCTAGATGAACTGAGGCTTAGACCAGTGGGTTTCCTTTTAAAGCCCAGCTCAGGGCATGGCCTCTAGGGGGCGCCAAAAGGACAGATCTGGAGAGGGCCTTTGAACCTCACCTCTAGGCTAAGTGGGGCATGGAATTACTGGACTTCTTGACCACACAGTTACTTACAGTGGGAATGAACCTAAAATCTGGCAAATCCATTTCCACTCTACAGAGAATGTGAATGAAGCTCAGAGAGGGTCCCCCAGGCCAGGGACAGAGCTAGACTGGGCCTAGTGTGGAGGACAGCCTCAGTTACTCTGTTCTACTTTCCCATCCTTGACCTCAGGGAAAGATATGTAGTCCTTTCCACCTGAAAAACCTGGTTCAAGATCAGGCTATTGACTGAGGAAGGAAGGAGGGAGAAAATCTTCTTAGAAGTAATCAACACAGCAAACCCCCTCAAATCAGACCTTGGTTGAGAGGAGCAAATGAAGACCCAGAGAGGCCCAGTGACTTATCTGAAGTCACACAGCAAGTTAGCAGAGCAGCCAGAATTGGAACACAGGGTCCTGACACCCCGTCTGGGGAAAAGAGCCAAAGAGAGGCACCTGCTGACTGCCATGCATGACTGGAGTGGGACCCTGAGATGGTTCAAGCCTTGAACTCCTCAGCCTTCTTCTCTGACTCCAGTTGCAGCTGCTCCAGGCCAGGGCTGTGCAGGGTTGTCTTGGTCCCCCTTTCTTTGCCCCGATGTCTCAGGATGACCCAAATCAAGGCGAAGCATGCCAGGGAGCCTGTCTTGTAGAAGAACTGGAGGCCGATGAATCTGAGGGAGAAAGCAAGGGACCCTTGAACAGGACCTCTGACTTCAGAAGCTGGATATCCTTGGGATGGGGACAGAGTGGGGCCAGTCATCACAAATCATACAACCAGAAGGACTGAGGTCTTGTGGGGAACAGAAAGGCCTCAAGCCCCAAGGCAGCTAACCCTATTACCATGGTCATGGCTGGAATGACATGGGCAGACCTAGATTGACCATTGTGGGGTCCTTCTCTGGAAGAGAAACCCTGCACAGTGGACTCCAGACAGAGGATGGTGTAGAAGCTAGACATCTCCCTGCCCTCTGTCTGCACGCTGTGTGGCCTGAACTAGCCCTGTGTCTCCCTGGCCCTCTAATTTCTCTTAACACTACAGCTGCACCTTTGGTGTCCTTGCTGTGAACCATCAGGTTGGAATCAACCCATAGCTGACCCTCCAGTGGGCTTTCAGAGGCAGATAATTGCGCAGGAAGGGATTGCCCATCCTACCTCAAAGAAAAGATTTCATCTCTCCTTTTTGTCGAACTCACCAAGACTCCTATTTGACTTTTTCTTTCCCTGTTGTAGAGTCAGAACTGACCCAAGCTGACCCTCGAGTGGGTTTTCAGGGCAGTTAATTGCACGGGAAGGCACTGCTCCTCATATTACACAGAACAGCTGGTGGTCTTGAACTGTGTGCCTTTAGTATTGCAGGGCAGCTTCTTGCCACTAGGCTACTGGAGCTCCTTTCTTATTTCTCCCCCTGGGAACCCCTTTCTCCCTGGACAGTCCCTGCCCACAGGAACTATACTCTGTGGAAGAGGCCAACCTCCAACACCAGCCCTGCTAACAAGCTCCTTCATATCCCTTCTGGCGCTAGATCCTCTCTCTCTTCAGATTCTTTTGAGCCCCCCATTGTTTAGATGGAAAACCGAGTCCCAGAGAAGAAGTCTTAGTCTCTCTCACATTTGTATAACTGCCCTGATTCTTCACCAGATCCAGGCTGTAATAACATCAAGGTCCCAGCACAGACTCTGTGGTCACTCATCTTGGGTTCTAGACCCAGCTTTGCCAGTAATTAGCTATATGGCCTTGAGATACTTGCTTTGACTTGCACCTTCCCATCTATAGAGTGGGAAGGAAGGTCTAATTTGCTCTGGTGCTGTGCTCAGCATTGCATACAACATTTGCCCACGGCAAGTGGGTATATTGAGACCTTCTCTTCCTTGCTGGTGTCCTGACTGGGTTCAAGTTTCTTTCTGTCCCCCTTCCCACAGCCTCCTGGCAGCTTCCTGGCCAGGCCTCACCTGGTTCGGAGCAGGTCATGGTCATAGTAGCGGCAGACAGCTTGGCGTCCACAGTTCTGGGCCCAGTACACACAGGTCGTGTCAATGGTGCTGCCATGGATCACAGGGCTCGGCATCCAAGCTGCAGGAGAGGTTGCTCAGGGGACAGTGGAGGCTCAGCATCCTCACATCCTTTCCACACTCCCCGCACCCTGGTCCCTCAGAAACTCTGGGTCACAACGGGCATCTTGATTTAAGAACCCTTTGATCTTCAAGTGTACCTCTTAGCATTGCATCAGATAAACTCTGTCTACCATGCTATCCCGCTTCTGCTCCTGCCTCCAGGGTGGCCGGCAGCCATAGATCAGGATGGTGCCCTACTCATCCCTGTGTCCCCAGGTCTTGCACACACACAGTAGGTATCTGGACCCCCTCCCTACCACCAAGGGTCCCAAGTAGGCTCTTTACCAAAAACTCTCAGAAGCATGAACTGGATACCCACAGCCAAAGTCTTGTCTTCTTTCTTCACTCCCCTAAGTAGCAAAAGACATTAGCAGCATGAGGATTCCAGTCACTCTTCGAAGCAGTGTAAACAGACTCCCACCATCCTCTTCTTTCTCACCTCCCAGCATGAAGGCTGGGGACCAGGCCCTGTAGCCCATCTCCCATTCACCATCAGGACATCACGCTGACCTCCCCTGTGACCCTGATCAAGGACATCTCTCCTCTTCCCCTTCCTTCTACACTTGGGAGACATAGAGTTGGGAGATTCACATGTTATCCCTGAATTTCACTGAGAGGCTAGGGCAGTGCCCTAAGGTGAAGGATTGATAGGTAGTGGGCCAGGAGCCAGTACTCTTCCACCCAAACTTGTTATATGATCTGAGGCCAGCTCTTTACCTTCCCTGAGCCTCAGTTTACTTCTCTGTAAGATGTGATGAAAATAGGACAGTGAGGGTGCAGACTGTTGGGGGCCCCCCAAGACATCCAGACAGACTCCTTCCTAGGATTCTTCCTTGAGAATTCCTGTTCTGTCTATGCCTGAGAACTTTTTGGTGCCCACCTGTCCCTCCTGCCCACCCCTGCTCTCAAGATGTTGCTCTCACCTGAGGATGAGCATGAAGGAAGGTGTGTGGGTGACACTGGCCAGTGCGGCACCCAGACTGATCAGGAGGACGAAGGGCAGCACCAGCGAGCTGCAGGTCGACTCACAGGAGCCGGCCAGCACAGGCCCACCCCCCACCACACAGCTGCAGTTGGTGTAAAACACCTGGAGGGGGAAGGTGGGGGAAGAGAGTCAGGGACTCTAAGGACTAGCAAGCATCCCACAGGCCTGTGGCCGGGAGACTCGTCACAGGCTCAGGTGCACGTAGCTGGCCGGGACAAAGCCAGCCAGATTTTGGCTCTCCTGACCTCTTAGCTATGCTAGCATGACTTGGGAAATCTTGCTCACAGATTGTATGCACACAAATTAGGCTAAGTCTGGTTGAGACTATGAGGAAATAAGGATGTGAAGAGAGAAAATGAGAGGCTCAGAAAAATATCACCACTAAAACACTCACACATACCCCCTTCTCCACACCGCATAACTCCCTCACCCACCACACAGCATACACATACTATACCATCCATACCACACACGTTCCATATCCCTCACACATGCGTACTGTACCATACATAGGACACATGCATACCATACCCCTTATACACCCCCCCCACACACCACAGATACACTATACCCCTTATATACATATATACTATTCTACCCACATCTCTCCCTACACACACACACCCCCCTCACAGCTGTATACCATACATACCACAGCCCTTATACACATACACAACATACCACTCACATACCATAATATTTACACAACCCACATAAACACACCCACACACATACTTATCACTACAAATCACATCCCAGGACACACACACACCTCACACTCCATAACCTCATGCACATCACATCATTCATACACACCCATCCCATATCTCCCGGGACTCACATACACATGGACACATCATCGTACACTACACTGTACGACCCCCCCCCAACATGTTCCTGACCACTTGCAGAAGGAATCAAAGCAATAAAGAGTGCTTTGGGGGAAGGAGCACAGTTTTCTACCTGTTTTCCTTCCTTCCTTCTTGACTGAGGGCTTTTAGGGCACCTGGATCTGGAGAAAAGTCTCAAAGAGAGAAACAAGCACAGGAGGGACAGAAGCAGGCAGCACTATGGGAAACTCAGAACACAGGAGAGGGAAAAGTCACCAAAGGGGAGTCTTGGAAACAGAGGAAGGATAAACAAATGTGGTCTGTTTACACAACAGAATATTAGATGGCTGTAAAGAGGAATGAAACTGTGATTCACACTATGGCAGAGATGAACCCTGAAAGCATTATACTGAGTGAAAGAAGTCAGACACACAAAGACAAACATTACATAGAACCTAGACTAGGATAATTCATAGAGGCAAAAAGCAGATAGTGGGTAGAGCTGGGACTAAAGGGAGGGAACAAGATATAGCTTTATTTCTGCAGGGATACTGTGTTCTGAGCTGATGAAAAAATTGGAAGTAGATAAATAGTGATGCTTGCACATGACATGGACAATGCAACCAATGACACTGAACTACTGTTAACAATAATTAAAATGGTAGAAGTCTTGTGACACACACATACGAACACACACAAAATATACACACACACATATATATATATATGGCAATAATAAAGTATTTATAAAAGTGATCTGGATAGGAATTGCTTGCTAGCTCCCTGACAGAGAAGCAAGGCTGATCCAAAAGTCTGGGCATTTTTCTTCTCTGTGGATCAGAGCTTTGGACTAGAATCCCAGAATCCACAGCTTCTGCTGGGAGGCCAGTGTGTGTGGACTGATCTTAGCACTTGGTGGCCTGGTTGACCTGGGGCAGCTGGAGCCCTCAGAGGTCTTCGCCTTCGGCCCTAGAGGCTCATATACTTCCCAGTGTAGAAACACTCGGCATGAATGTTAGAAGTGCTGGCAAGATTTTTAAGCTGGGACAGAAGTGAATTGATATTACAAAGGCCAATCTGGCTGCTGCTAGGAGCATGGACTGAATGGGAGACATGTGGCAGGGGTCCACCATCGTGGAGTGGATGGAGAAAAGCAGAAGGAGGGAAAACGAGAGTGAGAGAGAAAAATAATAGAGAGGAGAAGGAGGAGGAGAAAGAAAAGCAGATATCAGATCGAGGATTCAGCCTTGTGTAACTGATGCTCAGCTTCCCATTGCCTGGCCTGACATGCGTGAAAGGCTGTGACCTCCTGAGAAGATATCATTTCACACTGCAAGAAAAGTGGGTTTTGGGCCTTCACCTACAAGCCTGGAAATGGAGTTGGGGATTCAAAGGAGGACAGGTAAGAGTAGAAATGCACCATGGTAAGGTTGTAGTTCTTGTTAAGTGCTGTCAAGTCGAGTATGACTGTTAGTGACCCTGTGGACAACAGACGTGAATTCTGCCCTGTCCTGTGCCAGCCTCATCATCTCTGATACACTTGAGCCACATGAGGAAGCCTGTCCTCATTTGTCATTTAGGGAATCTGAGAAGGAAGAATTAAGAGAAGCCAGCTGGTTTTGGGGGGTCTTCCGTAAGGCTCACAAGAACACATCACTGGTTACACGGCCTTCATTTCCTCACTGGGAGCTCCCTGATGGTGCATGGTGGGATGCATGGCTCTGGGTCCTCCACTTCTGCCTAGGGCCTGCCATTGGTTTGTTGATTTACTAATTGAGTTGCTGAATGAATAGACTAATGGCATCAGCTTTTTCACTGATTTCTCTCTTTCCTATCTTATACTCTGTTCACCTTTCTCCACATTATGGCCTTCAGCATGATGGAACACATATCCAAAATGATCACTCCCTTAGTCAAAACCCATCTATAGCTCCCAATTGTTTTCAGGATTGTTTGGCTTGGTACTCAAGGCTCAGGTCTTGCTTTCTATCCATGAGTTCTTATGCTTCAACCACAATAAGTTCTTTGCAAGTTTCTTGAGACTTCATATTATTGTGTACCTCCAGATCTTTGCTAATGCTTTTCCTTTTGCTTGAAGACCTTCTCAAGCCTTAGTTTACCTTGATGCAGTTTAAATGCTACCTGCTCACAAAGCCTCTGGGACCATCCTAGGAGGTATGGATCCTGGTGGGATGGATCTGTGTCCTTGCTTATGTGTGTTTGTAGGGACCGTTTTCCTGTCTGTCAGCACCCTTGGCACTTCCACGGATGAGTTCCTTTTCTATCTCACCTGCAGCTGAAGGTCAGGTATGGTTCATTTTGGTATCCTGGCACATGACTGCTTATAGAAAGAATAATTGAAAAACAAACTCATAGAGAGAAGAGAGCAAGACAGAGAGATGATTCAGGGGTGGAGAGCGAGAGAGGCACAAATAGACAAAGCAAGGGTGAGTCCCAAGAGGCTGAGGGGTAGTCAGAGGCCTCACTCACCGTGCTTGCGTCCACAGCCTCCTGGACCACCTGGCTCATACAGCCTGCGTGGCAGGGTGTGATGTATTCCACATGGATGCTGGCATCACAGACAGGGTTAAAATCATCCGCTGAGCAGGAGCAGAACTCAGAGCAGCCTGGAAACAACCTGGGCCCAGACTGGGTGCTGGTGGGAGAGAAGGGCGGTGAGGTTGGGCTGGGTCTTCTGCCCCTTATCCAGGAGTTGGGCCACCTCAGCTCTGCAGCCTGGCTCCTCACCCTTACGGGTAATGGCTAGTGCTCGTAGCTCCACATAGAGTTCTTTCCTTCCCTGCATGGGATGTGAACTCCTTACACCAAGAGGTGTGTGAACACATAGGCTGGAAACTGATGGCAGAAACAGGAGTGTACTGGACCAGAGACCTCTAAGACCACTCCCAGCCCAAGATTCTACATATCTTTGAGCTTCAGAATGTCTGCTTCTCCGTGACCCAACCACATAAGGAAAATTCCTCCCAGAATTTAGTCCCAGCTGAGAAGTGTCTATCTCTCAAGGGGCTGGATTGCTTCTTTTCTCAGAACACTAGGGCTGGATGTGGGACTAGTACAGTGGTCTGCACAACTGCAGGATGTCTAACCTCTTGCCTCTCTCTGGTTTGAGTTTTTCTACTTGTCAGCTTAGCTGTATCTCCCTCCTCATTTTATAATCTCTATTTTGAGGTCCACTGAGGCCCTTAGTTCCACCTGCCTCTGTCCGGACAGCCTGTTCAAGACCTCCAGGAGTGCTCTGGCCCTGTCTACCATTGGTTCCTTCCAGGGCAAGGCAGTGTGGATGGGACAGGTCACGAGGAGGGAACAGGGAGGTGGTCCCTTGAATTTGGAGTTTAACTGGGTTTCATATTTATGAAAGAGTATTGCAACCTTTCTGTGGTGCTAAGACCCAATAGCCAGTGACCTCGCTGCAGAGGAGGCCACAGGGTGAGGATAGGGAAGCTGACAGCTCCCTGAGCTTGAGGCGGAGGGTCTGGGACTGAGATCCAGGCAGAGGGGTGGGTCTGACAAGATAAATGAGATCTCAATTCCATTGAAATGGGGCAACGTGGGCAGGAAGGATGGCACTGTCTTTGAGATGGCATATAGATGAGGATGCACAGATGGGTCATGAGGGCAAAGGTGAGCTCCACTCTATGGCCGTGATGGGAAGGACAGCATTAGCCAGCTCCCTCCTCCCTGCCAGGCAGCACCTGTGTGTCTGGCACTGCCTTGACGCATCTCACGAGGGAGAGGGAACAGGCTGGCACCGTCTGAGCTGAAGACCCATCAGGAGTCTGTGCCAGGAGACTCTGTCCAGGGCAGGCATTTCCCGGAGCAGCCTCTGCCAGAAGCTGGAGGCCAAGCAGGAAGAGACTGCTGTCCATCAACTCTGGCCCCCTCATTGACCACTGGAGCTGGTTGCTTCTGTAGGGGGGGCACTTGAGCTCCATTCAGTCTTTGCCCCTTCCTAGCTACACTGATGACCTCACCTTTCTGAGCCTCACTAGCCTCATCTGTAAAATGGGAATGGCAATAGTGTCCCCCTTGCAGAGATTGCAAGGGTTCAATGAGAGTGTATGAAGAGCTGGGTATGATGTCAGGCACACAGGACACCCTCATTTCCCGACAGCTTTCACTAGTAAGGGGAACTCTTATCTTGTTCTGTTGGCCCAGAAAGGTGTCTTGGATGAAATAGAACTCAGAGCAAGAATATGAGGACACAAATGAGATGGTGCCAGAGTCCAGAAGTGAGAGAAAAGGGAGATGGGGCATATCAGGGTACACAGCCTTGTCTCATTTACTTCTCACTCTTAGACTCATTTGCAGAACCTTGCTCCCTCCTCAGATGACGGCTTCCAGAGGGCACGACTCAAGCCCTCCCTGCAGGGCCTACACTGGGCTCTGCACACAGCAAGTAACGGTCTAGGCAGCAAAGTTGCCTATTTGAGAAAAGGAGAAATGGAAGAGAGAGAGAGAGAAGGAAGATAGAGGAGAGGTGGGAAGGGCGGGCCCTGGGACGGAACCAGGGAGAGCTGGGCATTCCCAAGTCCAGATTCCAGTTCCAATGCCATAAAGAAAGACTCCCAAGTGCCAAAACCTGACACCTGGATGGAGGGAAAGCTGCCAAGGGAGAGGTGGGGACAGAGAATGTTGGGGAATTCTGGCTGGATGTTGAGCCAATCTTTGTCTGGAGCAATTCCCGGGAAAATGAAGTCATTCTGGAGAAGAGGCAAGAAGGCAACTTCCAACACCCTCTCGAAGATTACTCCCAAGGTGAGGGGTATGGAAGCAGATAATGGTCCCACAGATTTGAGAGAGAATTCTGGAATTTGAGGGTCATACAACAACACAATTTTAATTCCTAAACACTAAGAACCAAGAATCTCTGAGGTCTCCAGTCATTTCCAGTACATCTGACTCCTCTGCAGGGAGGGGCCATTCCCTACTGCTCACCCCACTTCCGCCCTCACTCCCAAGAATGGAGACCTGCCCTCTTTTGTGCATATTCCATGGAAGAAACGTTGTTGGTGCTGAGCCCTGCATCCTACAATGCCCCTCTGCCCTGGTCCCTGAACCCATATAGCTCCACCAGTCAGGACGAGAGTGTGGCCAGCCCTTGCTGCCACTTGAGTGGATTCACTTGAATATAAACGAGAACATAGGTGAGATGATCCCTTCTAGTGGTGCGTGGCCCCTTTAGCACAGCCTTCCACAGAGAGCTCTCACTTCCGGCGACTGAACCAGGCAAATGATTAAATATAAAGAAGGCTTTTAGGCATCATCATCACGCTTTGCATGATAAGGGCCAAGCTTTGTGGTAGGTGGTGGGTGCCCCATCAGCTTGGCTTTTGTGGGCACATTCTCCCAGACCTTTCACCCCCATGCTTACACACGCATGCTCACGTGCACACTCACCCAGGCTGGGGGGTGATGCCAGCGATCTGATGGGTGGGGCAGCCGATGAAGAAGAGGGGCAACCTGAACAGGAGGCAGAGCAGCGACACCAGCAGGCAGAGGAGCACACAGTGCATGGGGCCCATGTGGAGGCGCTTGACGAGGACACCGCCCACCACGATGCCCACGATGGCCGACGGGATGGCCAGGCAGCCGATTAGCAGGTTGGCGTAGGAGGCGGTGACGGAAAACTGGTGCTCCAGAAACTTCGGCAGGAAGGTGGCCATGCCTGCCACTGTGGAACACATACACACTTGCGACAGGACCACCAGCAGGAAGATGGGGTGGCGCAGGGTCTGCAGCAGCACCCTGGGGAAGACTGTTGGGGTAAGTGGGGAAGAGGTCACTGTGGGCAGTCTAAGCAACAGCCATATCAGGCATTTGTGTCCTCTCCTGCCTCATCAGTTTAAATCGGTTACTCCTCAAAGAAGTTCCAGGGCACTCAAGTCCAGGGAGCTCTGGTGGCCTAATGGGTAACGAACTGCACTCCCAACCTAAAGGCAGGTAGTTCAAACGCACCAGGTGCTCTGAGGGAGAAAGTTGGCCAGTCTCCTGTTGTCCCTCTAGAAATACGGGTCGTTTATGGTCTGTTGTGCCTTGACAGCAGTCAACAATACCACACTCCATCCCAGTCCTATTTTCATTTTGTTCCCTTCCTTTCTCTCCCACCCCATCCCATTCCATTTAATTCTCCTGCCTTCACATCAATTACATTAAGGTGGATTTCATCTCAAGTCCATTTTTTAAAACCTCTTTCATCCCACTCTACTCCCTTGAATTAGAGCATGTTGTATTCAGTTCTATTCTTTTCCATTCAATTCGAATCCATTCTGTGTAATTCTATTTCTTTCTCTCTCTCTTTTTTAAAATTAATTTAAATGAACATCTACAGAGATTTTTGGACTTCCATTCATTGTTGCACTTTTCTCCCCGCCTACCCCACCCCCACCCCCAGTTCACTCCTCTCCTTGAAAAGCAAAAGAAAAACTCCTTCA